GTCAACACCACAGTTGACTAAATCAATCACTTGTTGTGCAGTTTCGTAAAGAGATAAATGCTCTGCAAAAATCGTTTGGGGATTTACAAAGTTAAAGTACACAGCAAGTTGGCGCATTTTTTCGGGAGAACCATGGATCTGGACTATCCCATTTTTTAACATCTTAGAATCATTCATCTTTATTATTAAAAGATCTAATAGTTTATATTTACCATTGTCATAGTTTGAATAATCGTACTCGTAAGCTTTATCATTTAAACTCACTCGAAGTATTTTGTTCGAGGGAACATAACTTTGATAAAACCGATTTTGCGACATTTATTATCGTTTTGGAGTTTTGTAGTTCTATTATTATAACATTTTAATAACATTTTTAACAATTGTTTATAATAAAATTTTGGTGAAAAAAACAAACTATTTTTATTTTATATTGAAATTATTCATAATATTATTATTTTAATAAAAAAATATGGTTAAAATATCTATAAAATTATTAATTTATTAAATAAAAAATATGGTAATTATTTATTCAAATTTATTTACTTTTAGATAAGTTAAAAAATAGTAAAAAATACCACTTTTTTATTACACAATATTTGATAAAAAAATTATTAATAACATTTTTGATGTTTTAACAAAAATTGGAAATTGAAAAACATCAAAATGTTTTTGATTTTACATTTTAAACTAATAAATATAAGTAAAACAACTATAATTAATATAACACGAAAACAAAAAGCAAACTATTTTGTTCTAACAAAAAACTAGAAAATGCATAGTGAAAGGAATGACATATAATCCTAACAAAAGGATTGGATGTCCTACTCCATTCACTTGGAAATTAACACAATCGAAGCAATCTCTCGTGACATGTACAAGTGGTACATTCCAACAAATAGGAAATGACATCCATAAGAAAACACACACTTCATTACACATCAACAAATCACTTCCAAGAGTAAGTAGTCCTTCCCCAATACCTCTCACACTTTCCGAAGACCAAAAAACTATTGTGGACTCTGCTATGAGGGGGGAATCGTTCTTTTTCACCGGTGCCGCAGGCACCGGTAAGTCTCACGTGTTGCGAGTGATTGTCGCAGCACTTCGGCGCAACGGGAAAAATGTGTTTGTAACAGCTTCGACGGGTGTTGCTGCGTGTAACATCAGTGGGATGACTGTTCACTCGTTTTTTGGGATAGGTATAGGCAGTGGGACTGTCGAAGAGCTCTTAAATAAAGTCAAAAAGGACAGCATTGCGAAAGCCCGGATACGCAGTGCTGACGTTCTCGTCATAGATGAGATATCAATGATCGATGATCGGTTATTTGATAAGATCGAAACGATCAGTCGAGTCATTTGTGATAGTCCAAAGCCGTTTGGAGGCATTCAAGTCATCTTATGTGGTGACTTTTTTCAGCTTCCACCTGTTTCTTCTGATGGGTTAAAACGATTTGCATTTGAGGGAGAGCAGTGGAATAAAGTAGTGAGGCGAATGTATAACTTGAGTGTTGTACACCGGCAGAAGGATAAAGAGTTCATTTACGTGTTAAATAAGATTCGCTATGGAACCGTCGATGAGTGGTGTTTGAATAAATTGCGAGAGCGAATAGATCAAGAGAAAAAGGGAGAGACGTACACTATCCTCTTTTCGAAATTAAATGACGTCGACGAAACGAACTCTTGGAAATTGAAGGAACTCCACAACGAGAGTAAACTTTTTAAAGCAAAAGACAGTGGCAACACACAATTGTTTAAAACGAGTAAAGTGCCAACAACACTCGAATTGAAAATAGGAGCTTTTGTGATGGTCACCAAGAACATTTCTATTGAAAAGAACTTAGCGAATGGAAGTCTTGGTGTTGTCATTGGATTTGACGATGAAAACACGTTTGGGAATATTCCCGTCCCTGTTGTGAAGTTTGAGTTTGGGACATTTAGCATAAAAGAAACGAAGTGGGAAGTCGACGTGGGCGGGAAAGCCGCAGCTACTCGTGTACAAATACCTTTACAATTAGCATGGGCAATTAGTATACATAAGAGTCAAGGGATGACACTTGAGAGAGCGATAGTGAGAATAGATAATGTGTTTGCAAATGGTCAGGCGTATGTTGCTTTGTCGAGAATCAAAAGTCTTGAAGGACTTTGTATCAAAGGGGGTCTTCGTGGCGACATGTTTAAATGTGACCAACGCGCAATTAAATTTGATCAAATGGTGAGGAGCGGAGAATATAATTTACAACACCAAATAGAAGAAGAGAAGATGGGGATGAGCAAACAATGTGACAAACACTTAGAAGACCAAATTCAAAGAAAAGAAGAAGAAGATGCAATTAAGAGAATTGAAGAACAAAAGGAAATTGATAGGAAGGCCGAGGGCATAAGGAAATTACTTGAGTTCAAACCACGAGAAAACACACCCAATCAAATGCAATCACCGCGGAGTGTTCTTGATATTTGCAATTTTGATGAAATCAAAGAGAACACAATGAATGGTGTATCAAAGAAGATGGAAGAGGAGCCAATCACTCATTTGGAGGAGCAACAAAGAGAAACAACAAAAGAGGAAACACATGAAAGTGAAGACGACATGCCAATAATGCTCTTATACACACGAATGAATGAAAAGATGAAGAAAGGAATACAACAAACTAATGAAGGTGTTACACCTCTGGAAGATGACATGAAATGTAAAGGAGAAAGCCTTGTAATTAATAGCACCAAACAAGTGATTTGTATAGATGATGTGGAGAGTGTCAACGATTACAAAATGGACGAAACCCCGAATGAAACTCCAAAAGAGTTTCATTCGATATTTGCGGAGAGACTTAATGAGAAGTTGAAAAAGAAAACGCAGAGCAAAGCCTCTGAATTGGCAAAGAGGAGTTTACATGTTCCAAGTGAACCAATTCGACAGTTTAAAAACAACTCGCCGTCTTCGGTTTTAGAGAGGAAGTCCATTTCAATTGAAGAGGTAAACACTAATGAAGAATCATTTGAACTCGAATCGTTTCAATTTGGCGATTTGTGCGATGGAGATACAAAAACAACAACACAACAACTTCCAATTGAAATGGTGAAAGTGGAACATCAAGTCATAGTCCCAATGAGCAAGAATGAAGAAACGAATTATACGAAAGAATGTCAAAGTAAACGTGCGAATTGTGTTAGTGGGGGTCAAGGGTTACAAAACAAAGAAAATAAAGAAGTGAATGTGTCGCCAAAGCACTCGAAGTCGATCTTTTCCGTCGACTGCTTCACGAAAAACAACTCGAAGATTTATATCAAAGCGCCACAAAATTTGGGAGTTTTTTCGGACCACTACCAACGATCGAATATGAAGAGAACGATGGAAGAGAATTCATATAGTCCGAAAAGGAGAATTACAAGTATGGAACGTGAGCACGACAAAAAAATGGAAGCGGACGATTTTGCGAAAATGGATATAGAAGTCTCGCCAAAGACTGAGGAGGATATAATGAATGAGAGTGCGAAATTGACAACAAAAAAGAAGACGAAAAGTGATGTGAAAGTGGTTGATGTGGTTCGTCGAGAAGAATCAAATGAAGGTGACGTGTTCAAACAAATCAGCAAGGAAGTATCTAATGACATCAACACATTAATTGAGAAAGAGTCGGTTGAAAAGAGTAGTAACGAAGAATTGAGAGATGACATGAGACCTTTTAAAATCGATGATTTCGAGAATCAAAGTCAAAACGAGGATATTGAGAAGGACGACAACAGTGAGAGTCCCGATTGTGACATTGACGACTTAGAAAACAACGAATGTGTTGATTGTGAGAATGAAGGGGAGACTGAGGAGATGGATGAATACAAACAAAAAGAAGAAGAAGAAGAATCGTTGTGGTTCAGACTCTATGGAAATCCAGAAGCACTCAAAGGACTCTCACAAGAACTTCAACCGAAGGGTACAAACCAAGACCCAATCGGAGGAAAGACAACATCCATTGAACAACTTGTAAATGCGGACGGTGTAGTGACGTGTAATTTGAGTGGGGGTGGAGTAACTGACCCCATAGTCCTCGACGATGTCTCGCAAGAGGAAAAATGAGACGAGTTATGTACAGCTTCTATAAACTACTGATTTATAGTATAATTAATTAAATTTATAGTAAACCCAATTCTTCTTCTGATGAATTAAAAACGGAGGTATCTTAATAGTTCAAAGATAATAGAACACGAAACTATAGAGAGTGAACTTTTTATATTAAATGGCTGAGGAGGAGAAGAGAGGAGAGATTGACATCGACCGCAAAGAATATTTGGCGAGTAAAGAATGTGCACAACATTTTAATGAACCTTCTCATTGGGAAGACCTCACAGACTCATTTCGCACATACTACGAAACAATACCGAAAGGCGAGTATAAAGGAGACTCCCGTCTGAACTTGGCAAAGGTGTTGCACTCGACGGAGATGTTCAATCCATTCATGGACGGTGGCGACCGATTGAAGGACAACTACAGCTCGGAGGAATTGTTCTATGCAAAGAAAGTGAAGGAACTGAAAGACTTCACTGGCGAGGATGTTACAGATCTCTTCGACGGAATTTTGTTATTGGAAATGTTGTACCGCCACGGGAAGATGTGGTGCCACACCCTCCAATGCTGCGATTACATCAATTTGATATCAAAAATGGACACGCCGTGTATTGGTAGAACATTGGTCTTGGGAGCACTCAAGACGTGCGAACTCTTCTACGAGGCAATCTCGAAGATCGGCGCCGACGATGAGGAGTTCGACCCGACGAAACCAAATTTTCCAAAGTACACACCAGAGGACATATTAGGGTTATTGCGGCAGGGTTTAGAGAGTGAAGCGGACGAGAACGTCAAAGTGCGGATTGCGTTTAGAATAGAGTTGTTGAATAATGCGTTGCAGTTGAGTAAAGACACCGCAGTCGAGTTACCACAATTTCCGGAGTTAGTCAGTAGAGATCCCAAGCGATATATTCGACCGGATTTGTATCTGAGAAACACCGTGTTTATCCAAAACATCCGACGATATCCGATACCCGATTTTGAGGAAGTCAAAAAGATATATGTGACAGATAAGGAGAACCTTGCGGAGGCGATTAAAGTGGGGAAGAATGAGAAATTGTTGATACCATTTTGTGGGTTGTATCAGGTCTATGAAGTCTCAGACGATATATTACCGAGATGCGCTATTAGAGGATACCTCTTTGCCAATTTGAAAGGGAAGATGAAGAGCTGTATGAAACAAATTGGACTGCCACCACATCGTTTGGACGTCGATGAAGGGTTTTATAATCGACTTGAATTGGTCTGGACGGACACATTGAAAATGATGACGCACAACAAAGCCCACTTCTTCAGAAATTTGCCGTTGTTGTTGGAAGTGTATGAAATGACACATGGAGACGCTTTTGTCTGCGATAGAGCTACACTTGATAAATACCCTGCACCCAATTTTGTCCCCCGATTCATCACCCCAGGACACTACATCAACTCATATTTGGTGCAAATCAAGTTCTTCTTAATGACAAAGTTTTTAATGAGTGGAGTTCGACTTGAGTTGTATAGTGAACATGAATACCATGTGATCTATTGGTACATGTCTGTCCTCTTTGCTATGATGGGAGAGCACTACAGCGAGTTTAGAGTCCAGCTCGATATGGACAGGCGGCTCTACGCTTTTAATAATAACAAAAAGAAGAACGTCAAAAAGCAAAACTTGATCAACACCACAGACCAAAACATATTGGCATTGTATAGAGCTGTCTCAAGTGGTGTCTCAAGGTTTTTACTTGCTCTTGTTAAGATTGGACTGATCAAGAGCCCAACACTATTACTCGGGACGGAAAGAATGAGATACGACTTACGATTTGCTGGGTTCAATAAGGTCAAGACGCCAGCCTTCATCCCGTTTGATAAGTTCGAGGAGCAAATTGAAAACGTTCAACCAAAAGTTCTTGTTGTCGAGGCGTTCAATGAGTTCAAAAAATGTAAAGACCTCGTCGACGTGATAAAGAACGAAGACACTAAAAAGGTTTATTCTAATGAGAAGGTCATCTCCTCGTTGTATCAAGTCGCAATGTCCAATATGCTCTGCGCTATGCGTGTGATCAAAACAGAAAAGTTCGATAATTGCTCTGTCACTCTTTCATTTGAGCAGAACAAATACTTCCCTGTCATCTCTATGAAAGCTCTGTAGAGAGAATCAACTATAAATTATAGTTGATTTTTAATCAGTATGGTTTTATTTTTGGAATGTGGTTTTGAATAGTTTTTATTAATTACGATTTGTCTCGCCATTAATAAGGTGTTGGACAAAATAAACATGTAAAAATATTAAGTGAATTTTATTATTTATTTAGTTATTGTTTTTTATTGTATTCCACGTTTTGTGGCAACCCTTAAAAATATAAATAGTACCAATTCAACTATTTAATAGTTTATTTTATTATAATATAATTATACTAAAGAACTACAATAGACTTCACTTTTTAGCTTTTATTTAACACTGCGAAACCATATTATTCAATATTTTTTTAATAAACAATAAGAATAAAATATCATAACATTTGATAATAAAAATGTCATTAATTGGTTCGAGTTATAGTTAGTTTTTCATATTATATTTAAACTATATTTTTTACCAATTACGTCTAACTTGTCATACTGTAATAAAAAAAGACTTGATATATAATTAGATATGTCTACTCTTGGTAGTTATCACATGATGATTGTCTCGAAGTACTTCAGAACAATCGAAGACTTCATTAATGTAGAGTTAATGTGCAAAAAGTTTGGTGGTAATATGGAAAAGTTTCACTTTAATCCAATTTCGTTGAGTTGCAAAACTTTTGAATATTTTTTAAACATCGAAACACTTCACTTGTGGAATGTAGAAGATGAGAATTTTGGGAATGGGTTTATTGTCAATAACACAAACAGCAATAATGATATAATTTATGAAGATATTAATAAAGGAAAGGATATTACAACGAAAAAGATGTTCTATCAAATTGTTGTGTGGTTTAATGTTGATTATACCACCATCACCAAAAACAGTGAACGAAATATTCAGTTTAAGAATGTGACATACACACAAAACGACAGAAACAAATTTGGTAATATCATATCACAATGTGTCACATCCCTTGGTGATAATTGTTTTTATAAATGCAGCGATTTAAATGATTTAATAATACCATCAAAAGTCACATCCATTGGAAGTGGCTGTTTTATTGAATGTTGTTTAAGTAGTGTCACAATACCATCGAGTGTCACATCATTTGGTAATTATTGTTTCTGTGGATGTAGTAATTTAAGACATATATCAATACCATCAGGCATTACATCTCTCAATAAGTTTTGTTTTTATGGATGCAACAATCTCAAAAATATAGTTATTCTTCCAAGTGTTATATCAATTGGTGATGGTTGTTTTGGTGGATGCAAAAGTCTCAAAAATGTAACAATACCAACCAATGTCATATCACTTGGAAATAATTGTTTCTGTTATTGTAACAGTCTTACCAATGTAATAATACCAACCAGTGTCAAATTAATTGGTGAAGTTTTTTTCAAAGAATGTAGTAGTCTGAGCAGTGTTACAATACCATCGAGTGTCACATCAATTGGTGGTTATTGTTTTAACCGTTGTAATAATTTAAGTAATATAATAATACCATCAAGTGTTGTATCAATTGGTGATGGGTGTTTTAGTGAATGTTACAGTTTAAGTGTTGTAGTAATACCATTAAGTGTGACGTTTTTTGGCGATAACTGTTTTCCATCTCATACAAGAATCCAAAGAAATCAGTAATTCACTTTTAACAAAGTCTTACATATAATAATTGTTGAAGTTAAATATGAAAACACAAATCCAATTTTTTTTGATAAATGAACAATAAACAATGTTAGTTTTTGTTTTCACACCCCTGTTTTAATATCTAACACCATAAAAGTTTAAATTGTTTGCTAAGTTGTAATATCATTACTTGGTTTTCATTTTTTGATAATAAAACTTATCATCTTCATCAAAGGTAAGCATAACAAACATTTCTATAAACTCAAAAATATTATAAATTGAAGAAATGAACTTTTTTGAAAGAAATGTTGCATACCAACCCATTCACATATAGTGTTGATACGACCAATAAATACGGTCTACCACTGATCCCGGACGAACACTGGGAACCACTTTTTGCTGAGTTGGGCAAGCAGTCGATTGGTCTATTAATGCAGCTTGACCCAACACATGCAGAGTTGTATCAAAAAGAGATTCCACAGACATTCAACGACATTCCAAAACAATTCAAAGATGCAATGCATGAGATGATGGCTGGTTGCTTCGATCAAAAAAGTAAGTTGTTTGAGATGATGACAAGAAATGTTATTGTCAAGTACGCCTCATACCTTAGATTTTTGATGGAGAGACGACTTTACAAAGAGAAGTTGGAATCAACCGACTTGTTGCCATCTCTCTTTGTGTTGGCATTGCCAAGAAGTGGGTCAACATTCCTTCATACAATTTTGTCATCAAATGCGTTGGCTGAAACAATGGCAATGTATGAGCATCTGGCGCCTGGTCCTTTCACAATGACAAGTCAGTCAAGAAAGAACTTTGGCAATCAACTTGTCTCTACTGTCCACAGTCACACCTCTACTTTGAACGAAGTTCATGTTCTCAAAAGTGCAGAACAAGCAGAAGAAGAACTCTTTTTCTTGGAAACACTTGGTCATTCATATTTATTCCCAAACGCAGTTCCACGATATGAAATGTATCGAAAAGGGATGTTTGAACGGAATTATGAATTTGCGTATGACCAACTGAAAGATCACATGAAAATGCATCAACTTGAGTTTCTGGTCCCTGCACAAACACTTTGTGATGAAAGC